TACGACAAACGTTTTGGAAAATATTAGCGTTTCGTCTTCGTTTTGACTTCGTGTGGACGGGGCCTGAATGAACATCTTGGCTCCATAAAGCTGGATCTAGTTTGTGCTGCTCATCCTGACTTCCTGCTGGTCTTCCTAGTGACCTACCACAGAGTCCAGATGCTCCTGGAGGCAGGAGTACCAGGACTTTTTCTCTGACATCATGCCATCACTGAAGGCTTCCTTCCGTCTCCAAAGGATCTCCTCAGGAATCAGGTTGAGGCCTTTGAAGGAGTCCCTGAGAAGGTGTTTCTCCACTCCATCCTGTGTGAGGAGGTCAGACAGCGGGTTTAATACAGCAGAAAGCTCCCACTCTGGTAGAAGACCCATGAACTGACCTTAGGAGCTCTCATCTCCTCAGGGAGGGAAAGGTAGTACGCCGTGAATCTATGATCCAAGAAAGGCACTCTGAGCTCCAAACTAAAAAAACAACAACAACAGAAACGGGTCAGCAGCTTGTTTTTCTGTTTATTACTACATTCAATTAGTCTGAATTAAATTATTTATTTTATGAAAGCTGTAGAGACACATCATGAAGTGGTTAGGTAAAGGGAATCGATCCATTTGATGCTCAACAGGCCGTTTTATCCTCTCTGAAACGCAGCATAACAAAAGGCCAAAGTTCCTGACAACAATCGCTGAGTTGCTCAGAGAGGGAGACAATATTTTCTGTTTTCAGAATCCGTTCTGTTTTCAAAGTGTCGTCAGAAGAAACTCAGAAGGAGAAAGACGTTTCTTGGAAAGAAGAACGTCGGCTGTTCTTACAGGCCGCCACCTTTGAACAGGAGCTGAGAGTTTATCAGGAAAGCTGGACGTCAGACAGATTTATCTGTGTCATTTTCTATACACAAGTGTAAACAAAAGGAAATATTGTTGTAAATATTGATTATTATTATTATATATTATTATATTAATTATTATTGTAAATATAAATATTGAATGTAGCAATGAAGCTCAGTTTTATCCTTTTAAACAGTCAGATATCCTGGATAAAGGAAGGATGACAGTCTAACAGTTAGGAACACGAGTTTTCACACAGAGAAACATTTACAGTTAGCACTGCTAACCATGCTAAAGGCTAATATCCACTAAAACCACTGCCAGGAATAGTTGCTGTTAGCTGAGCTAACCAAACTAACAGGCAGTTTAAGGAAATGTGGGGCCCTAAGCTAAGACAGGCAGGGGCCCCTCTGAATGGAGAAGACACACATCTACCAGCCCCATTCTCCAGATGTAGAAATGTT